GAAATGATATTTGATGTAGTTCGGTGATAGGGCATTTATTAGAGAGGGAAAAGAGGTGGCATAATACTGGACTACAGAAATGCTCTATAGCCATGGTTCTCAGTCTTTAGAATGTGAGAATCTCTGGGGTGCCTGGGTGACTCAGTTGGTTGATCAATGGACTCTTGATTTCAGCTCAGGTCATGATCTCATGGTTTATAGGATTGAGCCCTGCATCAGACTCTGTGCTGACAAGGCAGAGCCTGCTTGGGATTCTCTCTCTCCACCCTTCCCCCACTCATGTGCACATGGACACATGCTCTGTCTCTCTCTCTCTCAAAATAAACATTACAAAAAGAATATGAGAATGTCCTGGAGAACTTGAAGGGAAAGTAACAGGGCTGACCTACCTCCATGAGCCTGATCTCTGTTTCTTCATCAGCTCTCCAGATTGTGATGCCCACCAAAATCTGAGTCACTACTTTATGTATGGAAGTCAAAAACTGGGGTCTAGAAGCAGGCTAATTTGGGTCCAGATTTCTCTCTCAGCCTTAGTTTTTACCTCAAAAGTGGAGATATGGTTAGTACCTACTTCTTAGGATTTATGTGACACTGATAGAGGAAATGGATATGAATGCTTATTATTTTTATAACTATTAGTGCAATTCTCTATGACTAAATAGAAATCTGACAAAGATTTTGATGCCTACTCACAAGAATAACTTACTCATATTTATTCATTCATTACATAAATGTTTATGCCATTGGTTTATTAGAATTCTTGTGGCAATTCCAGACAGCATATACATAGAAGATGGTTCATTTATATTTGTTGATTTTAAGGCCTCATCATCCTGGGAGATTTTGTAATGCGAAATGCTTCAGTATTCTTATGACAAAGCACATGTTGTTCCATCTGAATAAATGTCTAATCTCTGTCCTCCCCCCACTTCCAGTTAAAACCTATTTTTCCCTTTTCTCATATGCATTTACTTCCCCAGCAAGCCCTCTTTGGCACTCTAAGATATTTCTCTCTGTCTGCATGTGTGTTGCAATTTTATATTTATTTAAATGATACTTTTCAAATTCCATCTTCCCCATCAGGCTAACTAACATTCTGATTTATCAATCTGATAAAACCCATGTATGTTTTAACCCAACATTTGTGAGTGTAGAGAATTGTGCCTGTCACAGGGTTAAGTGCTCAGAAGATTATAATGGATAGGTGTGGTTATTTTACAACCAACAGTTACCATTTTACTCCACACAATGCTGAGAACTTGACAAATAATAGCTCATATAATGCTTGTAACAGCACGAAATTAGGTATTAATTTTAATCCTGTAATTAATTTTAATATGTAAAAAAACAGATTAGGAAACAGAGACACAGAATAGCTGAGTCATCTGTTCAAGGTCATACAAGTGGAAAATGGGAGTTGTTGGTGTCAGACTCACACAGTGTGTCTCTGATGTCTACATTCATCTGTACATTATGTGGCTTCCTGGAAGGAAGTATGGCTCTTACATGGCGTGGCTGTTGAGGTCTTCAGGAAACCATTCAAAAGTGAATATATGCTGAGTTACTACTTGGGGGCTCTGAGTGTCCCCATCAGGAGCCATGGACCTTCAGAAGAGGTAATGAAGACACAGAGCTATTTCAGGTTACCTTTTGAGCAGCACTAAGACGCAGCAGCCAGATTGAAATTCCAGGCTGGAGAGCCCAGCATTGTAACAGGACATACAGGTGAGGAACAAAGCTTTGGAGGCTGCAGAGGGGCCCAGAGCAGCAATGCTCAGGAATATAAAGACACAGCAAGCACAGCAGGAAAATTCACCAGCAAGTGATACAGCATGTTCTATCCTCCTGGGCCATCTGCAGGCTATAGGATGGCAAGGCAAAGCTCCTGCCATACTGAGCCAGGTACTGAGCAAAAGTTTCAACTATAGAAGCAAAGCAAAGACCCTCTCATCTAAACCAAGGCATAAATTTGAGGCTGAGAGGGTGACAATACTGAGATACTATACATGGAGCTGGAACTGCTCAAGTCCCACCCACTGAAGTTTAGGATTTGCTCAATCATCCTGCTTCTCAAAGTATGGGCAGGAAGCATGAGTATCAGCTGGGGCTTGTTAAAAATGCAGCATCTTTTGCCCCACCCCAGACCTCCTCAATCAGAACCTGCATCTTAGGAGATACTCAGGCAATTCATATATACGTGCATCTGAGAAGCAAGAGCAGTTCTCAACTTACAGGTGAGGTAAGCATCAGGCCCACAGGGAGGAGGAGCAGGGGGAAGGGGGAGGAGGAAGTTAAGTACCAGCCATATATATATATATATATATATATGAGAAGGAAGAAGGGGGTTTTTGTTCAGAAATGTTGTCCCTTTTCCGTTTTCTGCTGTGTTGTGTACAGACAGCTCTCACGGTTCTTGCTTGCGTTCCCAAAGTCTGTTTATTCACACTCAGAACAGAGGGAGGTTTTGACAGCTGCTTTCCTTTCTTTCTCCTTTTAAATGTTCCACAATCACCTACCTGCGCGTTAACCACACATAGTCCTTCCTTCTTCAACGGGCTTTTTCATTTCCAGCAGACACAGGATTCAGAGAGAGGCGTTTTGAACTGGTAGACATTTTCAACAATGGGGTTTTCTCTAAAGATGTTTTCTTCTGAGATGGGGCAGGTATGTATCTTTGCTAGAGTTTGAGCCATTTTGGTAGTTTCTATTCTGAGGCTGGTTGGAATTCAGAGCTGTGGCATGTGGCCGAATGATTTACTTCTGAAGCTTCTACGTGTTCTGTTGAAGGCACTTCTTCCTGAGGTGTGTGTTGTTTTGGTGTTGCACAGAGAGAGGCTCAAGGTGCTGTGATAAAGAAAGAGTGTTTTAGTTGTTTGACTACTTTAAAAAAACGACCTCAGATGTTACTGGTTTAACAAACAACCACAGTTGTGCAAGGAGAGCTGGTCTCGGCTAAGTGGTTCTTCTATTGCAGTCAGCTGGAAGGCTGGAAGGGCCAAAGGAGTTCTGCTGAGCAGGGTGGAGACTGGTTGGGCTTCTTCCACATGATCTGCCATCCTCCTGTTAAATGTATTCGAGCACAGCAGCAGGCTTCCAAGAAAGAGAATTCCACAAAAACAAGCTTCAGTGAGCACAGGGTTTCCCAGCGTCTGCTTGTGCTGCACCTGCCAGTGTCCCCCGGACAGGGACACAGTGCCTAAGAGGCAGACTGTACATGGGTATGAAACCCCAGAAGTATGTTCCAATCCAGGGCCATTTCCACAGTCTACCACTGTTGATTAAGTTGTTTGGTTTGTTTGTTTGTTTGTTTCAGGCCGGGTGGGGTTGGGAGGAGGACAAGGGGCAAAAATGGTGAAAAAAGTGAAAGCTAGTCACCAGTCACCATATATGAGCGTGTATATGTACATACGTGACTGAATGCACACATTTAGTGTTCTGGGAAACAGGCGGGACTCCTCTATTTTCCCCCCAAAGATTCTCCTTTGTTTAGGAGAATTAGGTTACTCTATGTAATTAGGTTACTCTATGTAAGTTGTCTGGAGGCAGGGTTGTGGGAGAGAAGCTAAGCAGAAGGAGGATTTTCAGACAAATAGTTTAATCAGTATTGGTATTAGAATTCGATCACATACTGTAGCCAGATTAGTTTCAAATCAGTTAAGGGAGTGGCTATAAAAGGACAGTTAGCCAGCATATACTGACAACAGCCTGGAAAGTGACCTAAGGAATGTCAAATATTCTTTATTTTCCTCAAAATATTATGGAATCTCTTGTGCTTTGTTTTTCTCTTTACTCTTTGTTATTTACTTGTTTCAATTTTTCCACTTATAGTAGGTTTAATATATGTCAGGCCATGAATTTGGTGCTGGCCACGTAGTGATAGAGTTAACCTGATATGCTTCTCTCAGGGAGTTTAGAGTCTGGGGCTTCCCCCCCCCCCTTATGGCCTTAAAGGGAACACAGAGTGATTTAAATAATGTGAAAACAAGTCTATTTCCTGTGGTTGTTAACCTTGAACTGTAAGTTTCCAATGTCTTCCCACAACTACAAACAAGATGCTGGGAGGGAAGGAGGTAGTGTTGTCTTTACTTCTACAGGAAGATTAGGATGAGGAAGGCGTGGATTTGCTTATGTTCCCCTGAGTTGAAGACATTAGTGGAGCTGGTCCTCAGGCCTACCCTTGTGTTACTGAATCTTGTCTGATCACTATAAGACCTTGTGGCTCCGTTGGAACATTTAAGGCTGCACTACTAAAAAGATAGAAATTCTCTGCAGACATGGCCTCTTGAGTTTCTGTTCCTCACACATATCAGTTCACTCAGTGAATAGCACTGAGCTTTATGTTAGACTGCCACTTACTTAGGGCCTTTGCAGAAACTTTGATTTTTACTAAAACATCAATTATATAATGGGACATTGCTAAATGAAAAGAGGGCTTAAAATGATACTCACCGGTCAGTAGATCACATAATCAGAGATGCAGGATGGCCTAATGGTTGACCTTGGGCATGCTTTTATTTCATCTGAACCTCTATTTTCTCATCAGCAAAGTGGGAAGGATAGTAGTTGCTTATAGGTTGTTGAGATGAATAAAAGAATCCAAGAATAAAAGAAGCACAGAATCCTATCCACAGTAAGCCCCGATGTGATCAATTATTATCTTGATGATTATGAAGATGCTTTGTCCATAGTCTAGCATCACTAGAGATAGAAGGTTTGTTGTGTCATTGCTAAGGTCTGTGATGCAGATTTCACTGTAGCAATGTCATTTGTAGGCCACATGTCTGCCTGACAGATTGAACTAGGGATTTAGCCATAGGTTAGCCCTGGAATTCTTCTTTCTTTCTTTCTTTCTTTCTTTCTTTCTTTCTTTCTTTCTTTCAATCGACATCCAAAAGCATCCAGTCTACTAAAACAAAGAAAAACCATCACTTGTTTTTTTTATTTCCCAATGTTCCAGCAGTGGCCCACAAGCAATGACCTTCTCATTTAACTTTCTTCAGGGTTTGATGCCTATTTTACGTCACGCACACTTGAAAACAACAGAAGAAACGTATGGTTTGCTGAATACTGGGAGGAAAACTTCAACTGCAAGTTGACAATTAGTGGGTCAAAGAAAGAAGACACAGATCGCAAATGCACAGGTAATTTCATTCTCATTGTCCTTCTCCAGTTACTCTACGTGGCCAGCATTGAAATGGCTGCATAGCTGACAGAAGGAAGCTTGGCTGGAGACAAATTGAAAAAGTAAATTGAATTTTACTAGATTGTTCAGAAAATAGAACAGGAGCATAAGTCTTACAGGACAAGAGAAGTACAGACAAAATTGTATTCTTTTCTGCCTGTCCATCTAGCAGGAATTGACATGTTCATTGATTCTTGGAATTCAAAAGGGTCATGTTGCTTTGAATGCTCTCAGTGATAAATATTAGTTCATGTTTTAGCCAGGAGTATGAAGTCATCTTCACAAAGACAAAATCTGGTGAATATCTTTTCAGCACCGGATTTAATGGTTATCATGGACTGTACTGTGTTTTTGATTAAAGAAACAAAATACTTGGTTTTAGAGTAATGAGAATTGCACTGGATTTCCATAACATCAAAGTTAATGAGTCATCTGCTATTGAAAATACACTTCAAAATATTTAGGGGTGCATCTGGCTGGCTCATTCAGTACAGCATGTGACTCTTGCTATTGGGGTTATGAGTTCAAGCCCCACATTGGGCATAGAGTTTACTTAAAAAACAACAACAACAAAACTTCCGGCAACCTCATAGGGAACCTCGCGTAATTATTCCAAATTTAAAAACGTGTATGGGATGCCTGGGTGGCTCAGTCAGTTAAACTTCTGCCTGGAGCTCAGGTCATGATCTGACAGTTTGTGAGTTCAAAGTCCGCATTAGGCTCTCGGCAGTTAGCACAGAGCCCACTTCAGATCCTTTGTCTTCCTCTCTCTCTCTGCCCCTCCCCCACTCATGCTTGCTCTCTCTGTCTCTCTCTCTCAAAATAAACATTAAAAAAGTGTGTATGCCATGCATATATATGTATATACATGAAGTAGTCATAAAACAAAATTATTCACTGATGCATTCACAAATATTTATTGAGCAACTCCTTCCTGTTGAGCACAATACGAGGCATCATGATGTGATGGTAAGCAAGCCAGGTAAAGACCCAGCTTTCATGTTGTTCAGGGGATAGTGGGGGAAGATTGACATTATTCCAGTCATCTCTCAGTGAATACATAATTACAAGTTGCAGTAAGTGTCCTGAGGGCTATATGGGCATAGAACCAAGAAATTTCCCTTGTATTGGGGGCAGAAGCTATCTCAAAAGATCTCCTTGAAGAGTGAGTAGGTATTCGCTAGTTAGGAAAGGGTAAGGACAGATAGGAGAATTTCTTATAGAAGAATAACATGGCAAAGAGCTTATAGCAGTAGCAATTATGGTACCTCAGAGTATAGGAAAAACAAATACCTGACAGAAGTACAGTTAATAGGACAAATGTGTGAGCTGAGGCTGCTAGTGTAGACATGTGGACAAGGAATAAGCCACGTGGGGACATATGTGGAATTTGGTCTTTCCCCTAAGAGTACTGGAAACTGGGGGTGGGGTGGAGGAAGGGGAGGAGATAGGAATTGGGGGAGTGCAAGGGGTTACAGAAGCATGTGATGTATTCTACCATCTTATCACCTGGCTGTATATCACATGTCAATACCCAATTTCATACTTCAGTACCCTTTATCATTTATAGTGATGATCTTGAAATACCACAAAACCCTAAAATGTTTTTCTGTATAATCTAGAAAAGCACACTCAGGTTGGATACACTAATGTTTAGTTTGTGGGTCTTTGAATATTGGTGATCCAGATACTGTAGACTGACACATTCAACAAACACCTATTAATGAGGAATAATGCTTGTGAACCATGGTCCTAAAAACATCATAAGTGGTGTGAGGATGCTTAAGTTTAGGTCTTTTCTTCAAAGTGTTTTCGTGAAGGAAAGATAAAAAACAGTGATATGAGTAAAAATAATACAAAATCAACATATTGCATGATTAGATAAATAACTCAGTAAATTACAATACCAGCTTAACCATTCTCTAGACCATTATGTGTAGCAACAGTGTTTTCAGAAGTATGATCTTTATAATATTGTAGGGAAAAAAGAAAAAAAAATATTTCAATGTTGACTAGACCTGGGAGAAACAAAGCTCTCAAGAGGAAACTTAAAAAAATTCATTAGACATCTGCATAATTTGTCTATATGACAAGCAACATCCAAGTATACTAGAAGAATCTAGATGATTGATGACAGTTTTTTGGTTTCTTCTGACATTTTGCGTTCTGTAGAGTCTGGAAGGTAGATTATCTTATGCCCATTAGGGCTGTTCTAAGGCCAAGCCCCATGCTCTTAGTGTTTTAACAGTGATGTTTTATTTGTAGTCACATTTTCATGCTAATTGTCAAGAATTGCAGTTAATAAAATTAAGCCCATTATCCTTTTTCAAAAATGAATATGGAAGAGTTTTTCATATCCCACTCCTTCCATGTGACAAATCTCTGATCACATTTACTAAATTACCTGTGACCTCAAATTATTTAAATAATGTCCTTGCTCTCTTTTCTTCCTTACCACTTTCACAGTTGTTAGATTTGCTGTATTGAGTGGAGACAAATACTATTACCATCGTTGTGTCTCTTATTCCCGTTATTGGATTTGAATACATGGGTGGTCGTGTGTTTCTTTCTTGTACTGCCTTTCCTAAATCCAACTAAACCCATATTTTGCTTTGGAAGTATTCACAAAATACTGTTTACAAAATTGTGGCCTTTAGCAACAGTTGACCCTTAAACAATTTGTGTTGGAACTTCCGGGGTCCATTTAAACGGATTGTTTTCAACAAAGACAGTACTATAAATGTTTTTTTCTCTTATGATTTTCTTAATAACATTTTCTTTTCTCTAGCTTACTTTATTAGAATATAGTATATAATATCTATGACCTATAAAATATGTGTTAATTGACTATGTTATTGGTAAGGCTTTTCAACAGTAGGCTATTAGTAAAGTTTTGAGGGAGTCCAAAGTTAAAGGATGATTTTTGACCACGCAGAGGATTGGAACCCTAACTATGCACATTGTTCAAGACTCAACTGTATGCTTCGACTAGGAAATGGAATAATGTGAGGAAAAGTGTGCTGAGATTAGCTAGACTTAGAGGGAAGGAAGAGATGGAGAGAAGTGACAGATGGAATTGTATGGATAAGAGTTCTTGAAACCATGATGTGAAATTAAGGTTTAATAATGGAAAAGAATGGGTAAGAGAGGGAAGTGTGGATGGGTTTAAGGATGTGGGTAATGAAAGGGAAAGCTGCTTTGGTAACAAGGTTTTGAAACACTAGAAGAATGGGTACATTGGAAAGAAATATCCAGATGAAGAAGCAGGCTGAGTAGTCTGGCATTGCAGACAGTGAGTCTGGCTCCAGGCAGTGTAGATAGTGCATGTTCTGAGAACTGCAGAAAACAGCCCACCTCACAGATTTTTATCTATGACTGGGCTTTGCTAAAGAATAAGAAAGTCTTGGGGCCCCTGGGTGGCTTCGTCACTTGAGCCTCTGAGTCATGATCTTGGAGTTCGTGGGTTCAAGCCCCACATTAGGCTCTGTGCTGACAGCTCAGAGCCTGGTCTCTGCTTCAGATTCTGTGTCTCCCTTTCTCTCTGCCCCTCCCCACTCATACTCTGTCTCTGTCACAAATGAATAAACGTTAAAAAAAATTTTTTTTTAAACAAAGAGGAATAAGAAAGTCTTAAAATACCCCTAGGATTTAGGCACACATTAAAATGCCAACTTGTTTTTCTATATTTTTTTTACAAAGTCTCTTTAGCCATAATGATGAGCCATAATAATTCCATATTAGCCTTAAGTAGACAATGAATGAATCAATCATCTGACCAGACACACTTTGAGGATGAGATATGGGCCCCATACTATTTGGAGAGAGCAAATACCTGTGGTAACAGAATTGCAGTGGGATCTCAAAGGCCAAGGTGGTAAAATGTCATGAAAGGAAGAATAATCATTGAAAAAATGATATATTATTAAACTATGTACACTTCATAATTTAACTGGGAGCTAGATGTGCATGAATTCTTGTAGAAATTTACCTGAACAACCAGGCGATTCTTACTCTTATAAATTATCCATATGCGTTTAAAATCTCCTTCAGACAAGGAAAGCTGTCATGTTGTTCAGTATTTTAAGAACATTCAACTTTGCCTGATAAACCAATTCCTAGTTCTCTCAACCTTAAAAGCTAGTCACTCTTCATCCCATGTTGTCTGGGGACAGAAAGATTGTATGTCATTTTCTTTCTTGAGCTTCCCCATTCCCACCCCACTGGCTACATGTGTTTACCCTTAATACCAGCTAGTATATTGTTGACACAAAGACCAGTTTAAATTATGATATTTTGGGGAATGACATGTTTTTATGGGGATAACAAGATTAAGGAAAGAAGGAAAAGTATACAGGTGGTGATAATTCTGAAAAAGACATTGAGGCCATCTTGGAGTCCAGAAAATCACTCTGTTGGAGAAACCAGAGTTTTGGGCATGAAGGAGGCCTGGGTTTGTGTTCTAGAGCTATTTCCCAATGCTCCTGTGAGAGGTTGGGCATTATTTAATTTTTCAAAGCCTTTTCTCATCTTTGAAATGGGAATAATAAAACTTTAATTCCAACTTTAATGGTATCAATTACCTACTGTTTGGGGCTGAATGCAGTTGCCTGTGAGGGTTTCATAAAGATCCTGTTGTCATATGTTACTGCTATAGAAAATCAAGGTGAATATCAAATTCTTCCAGGAAAATAAAACCAGGGAATTGAATAAGCAAAGTAGATACAGGAGCTTTTCATTGGGATACACCGTGCATAGCAATATAATAGGATATCAAAAGTTGATAGGCAGCATGCAACTTCCTTTTCTGAATGGAATGTGAAACTCAGGGTTTAAAGAATTTCAGTGCCATAATGTAGAGTATGTGTCTAAGCATCGCTGGGCCTTGGACTGACTGACCCCCCCCCCCCCCCCATGGACCAACTTTTGTACCATTTTCTCTCTGACATGCTAGATCTTTAT